TTAATAAAATAATAATGATAATAATAATAAATGACATTTATATAGTGCTCAACTCTGATTAAAGTACAAGGTTCCGAGCGGTTTACATTACAATACAGCAGTGACTTAAAGCATTGTGTTCTGACCTAAAGAAAATCTTTTACCTGGTTTTCTCAATCATATAATATATGACTCCTATCTCTTCCTCCCTTCGTTGACCCTCACAGAGTGGATTGCTCTGCCCCTGCCCCTGAAGTCGAGACAGGAGGGCCAAAGGTCATGTTTACTCTCTACCCCAAGTCACAGGTGTCAAAATTGGAGAATGTAAGTGCATTTCTATTTTGTTGATAATGATAATAAAGATTTGCATTTACATAGCAAATATCCATGTTATTTAGCATGCTCTATGGGTTTTACAACTATTATTAATTACCTTAGCATACCCTTGAAGGCTCCGAAACATTCTCGGCTTCCCCGGAACCATACTATGTTATCCAACTGAAGTTAATTTTTTTTTCTTCATTATTTTGCTTTGTTCTTTAATTTGAACTTGACTGTATCTATTCCTTTACCTTAAGAAAACGTCCCTGAGTTCTGAAATTCAAGCACGGGTGGAACTCTGTTTTTTTATCTGTTTGCCTCACTTTTTCCCTACAGTAAATGACTGTTACTGTGTCGATGTGCTTTTTTTTACTCCAACAAACAATTAAGTTTACATTAGATTAATTTTGGAATATGTGTAGAATTTTATTTTTATCTAAAATTGTGACAGGAGAAAGAGATGGAGGGCTCCCCACCTGTATGAATCTTGTAGAATCGTCACCATTTTAATTCAGTTTTATGAAAATATGATAAGAGCACCGCTGATTCCTGTTTTTCCAAATCTATTTGCTGTTCGGCTATCTCAATCCAACCCCACCCTCTAGGTGTATAAGAACCCTGACACTCGACGTCACTAGGTCACGATCAGCTGTTTAACTTTTACACCCTCTGTGCACAGAGTGCTTGTAGTTGCTCTGTTCCATTTTGCCCTCAGAAAAACAGTAATTGTGCTAAAGCCAGGGATGTGGCAAACATTATTTTGACAAAGCGTTAAAAGATTCCTGCTTTTGCATTTTGGGTGATGGCCCAGGCCTGGGAGAGATTTTTTAAAAAGGGTCATTGTTTGAAACTTGAAACTATCGACTATCATTCTCTTATCTCTTCTCCCTCTTTTCTTTGTATGTTACTCAGTAGTAATACCTTTAATCTCTGGCACTTATATGACATATTTGTATTGCAAGTGCTGTAAAACTCTTACTAAAAGTAAAAACATTTGTTTCGCTCAGATTGTGAAGATGCTGGGAGGTACGGTCGTGACCAACCC